TGTGGGATAGATGTAATGAAGTTAATTAAAAACACCAACTATACTTTCACTAGCTACCGGCGGCGTATGTGACGTATTCGCTGAATTATAAACTCAGATAAATCGATTAAAAAATAAAATGATGAAAAAAAGTTGAATTTTTTTGTCAAAAATATGTTTTATATTTTATAATAATAATGACCCTTGACAACGGACACCCATCGCACAAAAATAATTGTTAGAAACACTTTTTGACACTTGCCCTCGTTTAGGGACACCCTTCGTTGCAAACGTCTCTACCACCAACCACGCAAATCCCACTTATCGATTTTCGTTGATGGAATAATTAACGATAATTATTATGATGTCTAAAATTATGTATTTGTTTGTGTGTATTTTACTTTGATCTGTCACAAACTGTTGTTGTTCTTTTGATGCGATGTACTACATTACTACAGATAACTGGGGTGTATAGCTAAATATATATATATAAGTATTATATAGTATTGCGATCTGATAAATTTCGTATTTTCTGTATTTTGTGTTTTCGATAGTTTGCACAGTATATCACATTATGAACAATATATATAATATAGTACCATATTAATAATAATTCGCCCTCGCTTGACGTTTCCGGGCGTGCATTATTTCTGTCGAAATTTAATATTTCATCAAACTGAATATCAGATATGTAATATGAAACTGCAAACGACAACAAACTTATAAGTTATAGTTTGATTTTGATCGACAGCGAAATCAAACCATAAGTAAACCCACGTATAACTGCAATAGGTAATGCAATTACCAGTTTATCAGTTTATGATATTTGCTGTAGTACACAAACCACTTGTCGCCACACATACACTTAACGACGTTATAAATATAAAATAATCCTCTATATTTCGTAATGAATATTTGCATACTGTGGGTACTGAATTAAAATAAATTGGACGTGAACATTTTCTTGGGTTATTCACGAGATTTCAAATCGACGTTATACATTTTCCATATAAACACGAACACCCCCGAAGATTATATTATGAGCAAGTATTCGTCGTAATCGGCATTATTTTTGGAACTGCGGTCACGTGAAAAAAATCATAATGCATTGCCATCGATTTCTCGTTTCCCACGGTTTCCTACCTAATATGCAGACGTCACATGTGCTCGCGTTGTACGCTTAAAGCGCGCCAATCGATCAAAATCGCGTGAAAGCTTATCGGTTATCGAGTATTTTCGCCACAAGGAATAAAATATACATAATACAATGTAAACGAGGTCGTCGTCACACGTGACGTATACTGTCATAGTGCCATGTATTTCCTTTTACTGTTGCACCCCGTAATAATATATAAACGTATGATAATATGTACACACCTGACTCTGTATCCTTTGCGTACATAATACACACGTATAATATTATATTACACATGTTGTCTGATTGTATTATTATACACGCGTGGTCGATAATAATGAACAGACAAATGCAATTCGTTATCACGTGGTACCTCTGCATGTCACACTCCAACCGTCAGCAAAACTTCGGTGGCGGTAGCGTGCGGGGCGGACTAATGTAAAGCATTTATCGACCCGTTTTCGTAAACCGTGAACAACCGCGGCCTTCGCCGCTGCGAATATAATTTGATTCCGTTTTAAAGGCCAGCAGACGTAAGCATTGTCTCTATTAGTATGATGTTATATTATATGGTTCGGATGTAAACATACTGTATATGCACATGTATTAGACGAATAATCATCTCGCTCACGATTGCCGAATGCCGCGTCATATGCACAATCGGATCCGGCCGATTCGTGATAATATAAGGTCGATGGTGTTGTAATAACGGTTGAAACAATGCATTCGTAGAGTTGCTCATTGTTTCTACTGACCCTGAAATCAAAACGATTTTGTGATCTTCACGATAATCATTGTTGTTTCGATGTGCATATTAACACTATATGTGTGTTAAAAAGTAAAAACACGCTATATAGATTTATTATGTATATTATTAGCCTACTGTCCTGACCTAGATTATATAATATTATTATGTTGTTAGGTGTCTACTGTCTACTACGTGTACATTTTACCCGAATCAAACTAAGTATAAATTTACTATTCTCAAGTAGAATAAATAAATATATTATATAATATGATGGGTATATTATAAGTACATGTTATAAGTAATATGTTTTTATCAGCGTTACATAACATATAAAATAAGTATTTTTAAATTATTTAGCATTTTTCTCTTTAATAGGTAATTCTATTTAATAATAAATTATGCATATAATTTTATATCTTCGTTTGAAAAAAGATTTAAATTTTTATTTTTATTTTTTATTTATTGTCATTATTTTTTTAATAAAAATAATATAACTGCTTGTTCTAATTTTAAGAAAAAAGATAAGTTTAAATTTAGAAATAATATATTTGTAAGATGCTTATAAATATACATTTGTAGATAGGTATATTGGTTATAATTATAAATAATACAAAATATAATGTGATGTGCGGTATGAAATCGTAGGTAATTATTTTTTTCATTAAATCATAACATATAGGTATACTTTTTAACCAATTTGGTTGGGTTGTTTTACTCCTTTACACCTAAAAGACAAAGCCTAGAACAGTCAAATGTCTACTTCTTATTGAATCTAAAAATGTGTTTTTTAAAAAAAAGAATGCATTCAGACAAAGAAATTTAAAAAAATAATTAAAATTATATAAAAATGCATGGCGATTATGTTGAAAAATAATAAATCTTATATATTTTTGATATGCTTTTTATAGTAGAAGTTTATTTAATTTTATCCTCAGTTGTTTGAAATTACGTTTAAAAAAATATAATAACATTCTGTATAACAAATTAATGTTGAGATATCTTTCAATTTTCAATATTTCAAATTAAAGGTATATAAAGGCTCGATATTCAGGACAGCAAAAATTATTAAAAAAGAGAATAAATTAAAAAAAAAAAAACTGTAAAATGCATTAAAATATTTAAATTGAATATAAAGCTTACGTTGAATTTATTTTGATTTGTAAACCATACGTAAAATATGAATTACTAACATTTTCGAAGATGAGTCATATACATTATACAAGTACATTTAACATCGTTGGTATATAGATACCTATCTTTGTTTGATAACAATGCATAAAAACAATGTTATTTTCGAATATTGTATAAGTACTGAACATCGTAAACACGCGTATTCGCTCATCAAAGAGAATATAATTAATCGCATGAGTGTATTTATTTTGTTTAAATTATCTATAACCGCTGAATTATTCAAATTCACAAATTTCAAATTTTGAACAATTATTATATTATTAATTATTGTTTGACTTGTATATATCAGATATAGTTTTCTAATAAATCTGCTAACAATTTATTTTATGAAATATTCATTTCAAGTACCATTATTGTGTCAATATAGTACATAAAGGGTAAATTATTGTGCTAGTACTTGTAAGTACTTGGAATACCTACTTGTATTTCCATTACGTTATCATCATACATTTCAGTGTTTTTATGATACCTTATACAATAATATGTTTCTTATTACCTATTTATTGATTTAATTTCGTAAATATATGCCTAGTAGCTTATGCGTTGTGTCCAATTCTTTTAATTTTTATATTTTATTATTAAAATAACAACAACAAAAAACTTAATTCAATTTTTAAATAATAATATTTTGACTACACTGCAAATTTTTTTTTTAAAACACTTTTCTTCAGCATCCCGAACACCGGGCACCGTATGCACAAAAAGCCACCTGTTGTGCATGCTTTTGACGTCGCGCAATTCAAAATAATAGCCTTTTTCACCTCGTTCGAGTTCGCACATAATACAAAGGTCCAGCATTTACCTTCTATCACCCTCTCTCGTTTAATTCGGCTTTTTTTTTTTGTTTTTATCCATGCATTTAAACGTGGTGGCTAATTCGACGGGATCCGGCAATAAATCAAAAAGCCACCGGTTGAAAAGCGTTTTGTTTTTTTCCCTATGCTAGTCCCTCTTTTAAACACATACCCTGGGACCTTTTACAAATTTCCGTTTATTAACTTTGGACCCCACGCGATTACGGTGTACACACGGGCGCGCATAAATATAGTTTACGTATTATAGTTCGTTCGATATCGATCTCTGTGAATTAGTAGTTCATTGTTCAACCTCTAGAAAAAAGGCGGTTCTCACTGAATCCCACGTGTGATATATGACCTGCCATATATAGTTCCATATAATAAATAAACGTATTTTTTTTTAGGGGGTAACCCATGCTTACAAAACTTTAATGTTAAAGTTATTTGGACGTAGATGCCTTTTTTCACCAAAGACCCGACATTGTTTTATCCACTCTCTGATCACTGCTAACTAGCAATACTGATTTAATAAACATTGTAAAATCGGTGTTTACTCATATAACTAACATATACAATATATATGTATATAATATTATCAATTATCATATACTTAATAATGAAACGTATGATGTCGTGTGTGTACTCATATAGGCGTAGGTACCTATAGTATAGTACACATATTATGTAGGTCACAACGGTTATCGTCAGGGATCAATTTACACAATGAACACTATACCGTAACCACGGTTCTATTGATGTCATAGGTTATTTTATGATATGTGAACGTGTGGTATGCACGTGTTTGTATAAGGAATAAATAATACAATAATGAAAAGCTGTGACCTAATATGTCAGTTAATGACGTGACGTCCGTGCGATACACATGTAATTGATATTCATTGCTTTGGGAATCATTAGCCGGGCAAAAACAGCTATATGAAGCTGATGCAGGGGTAAACACTGGTGGACTGATGCGGTTGGAGTGGAAGAGACGTTGCCCGATTAGAATAACGTTGTATACAAACATCTATATAAAATAATAATTCGCTTTGCATATAATAACAATAACATACCACATAAATATATATGTATAGTGAATATCATATTCATGTTAACATTGTTAACTAACGTCGTTATTTCCGTATTTTAGGTGCAAAAAACCAGGCAGATATTTGGACAATTTACCCCAGACATCTGTGATCGTGTGTTTTCATAACGAAGCGTGGTCCGTCTTGCTGCGAACAGTGCATTCCATACTGGATAGATCGCCGGAACATCTCATACGGGAAATCATTCTAGTCGACGACTTTTCTGATATGCGTGAGTCACAATACAAACATTTTATTCTATATAGACCACGGTATTATACATATATTTCTTCGAACGTGAAATGTGTATATACACTTATGTGACGTTAAGACGATGGTGGTAAATTATATTATAATAACGGTGCGTAGACCGCATACCACCAAAGTTATTATTATTTAAAGATTATAAACGAGTTACGTTGTTATATTATTTTTATCGGTAAATTATTTCGAAAAACAAATAATAAAAAAAAAAAAATCCCAAACTAATTTTACTGTTTACGTGAATGCAATAGTCTATGTGACATATAACTATATATGCTGAACACGAACATATTATAATGTATATAGGTATAGTTAAATTCTTTTTGGATTATTCCGTATCGAACTGCCGTGCTTCAAGGGTATAAGAACAAATATTATATATATGCAACGGTGGCGACGCGCGATTCATTTTAATTTAAATTTAAAAATAACGCGTATAAATCATAAAGATTAAAAAATAACATTTTAAAGTTTTTACATAGTTCAGTAACATTAATTTCGTATAGTATTTTTAATTTATTACAATTGTTAAAAAATGAAAGTAAAGAAATAGTTTTAATTAAATATTAACATTCAATTTATTATACTTATTTTTTTCATATTCAATTAAATTTCATATTTATGTCTATGAAAGTATTTGTACTTTCAAATATGGGTCAAATTATGCTTTGTTATAATCTTTAAAGTCACGGTAAATTTTATAATATAAACATAAAAATATGTTTTACGTATGTCAGAACATTATTTTTGGAGGTATATTTTTATCAGTTTTAAATAACTCGTTTCTGAAATTTTTATTCGTTAAATAAAAATTAGCTAAAATTTCTTAATAAACTGAGTTTTTTATAAACGTTTATTAGTAGTATTTTTTTTTTCATATAATTTCATTTTAGTTTGTGTAAACATGAGCAAATATCATTATAAAATTATTATAATTATCTATTTTATTATGATTTTACATTGCAAGTTAGGTTTAGGAAAAAATATCATGTTTTGGGAAATTCTGTGACACCAATTATTATATTTTACAATGAAGGAGACAATTAAATTTGGTCTTTTGATAAATTATATTCTGCATTTTTTTTTGTAACGCAATTTTAAGTTGTTCCGTGTAGGTACGCATAAAAAACATATTTTTAATTAGTTCTTTACAAAGGCGTATGTGTCGTAGGGCTTGCGTTATTATTATTATTTTTTTTTTGTTTTAGCGACTTTTTTTTTTATCTTTCTATGTTCGTCTTTGAGCAGGCGTGACCTCAATTCTGAAGTCCCGTTCCTTCAGTTCTCTAAAATTACGTATGCGTTAGGCGAATTATTGTCGCGGGCTACGTATTAACCTCTCCACCTCCATAAACTGCGCATTCGCAAAATAATATATTAATACAGACTTGGCGTTTCGCCGATGCGACGAAAACTGAAAACAGTCCTGCGGCGGGAGACGGCTGTGCGTGTTTAGAGTGTTAAATAATGACATTATAATATTATCATTATGATAACACGTAAGACGGCGCCCAGAGTAGGCAATTGCAGTGCACTCATGTATTCCTCGCAGAATTACTATATGTATAATATACTATACTACTACCTTAGTGCCCAGTATGTACTGTACAGTATATCCATTTATACAGACGACTATTACTTTTACCATCTAAGATCATCAGTGTACTTGGCGGTCAATGCAACGACGTGCTGCTCGTGTAATGATGATGATGATAATATAAAAGGTTAAGATCGTAATACGCAATACGATAAAACTGCATTCTACACTGCATCGATATTCCGTCATTTAACCTTGACGATGTCGAAATAATGCACTTTTAAATATACATCCATTATTTTTATTATGACACGCTTTAGTCGTGTCGTAAACGGGTGTATGTTGTTGGTTTTCATAAATTAAAATTGTATTTTTCTATTTGCGGGTTAAGCGGTTTTAGTCATTGTTTGATTAGCAATCGATCGTTCTCTTATATTGGCATTTAAGAAATATACCGTGATTTTAATGTTTGTATATGAAATGGTCCATTTCTTCTATAAATACTGAGTATCCCATTTCATTTTGCTCGTCTAACGCGTAATCGGTAATTGACTACTATCTGTTTATATCTATTATTCTACAGATTAAAGTAAGTTTAAAAACGATCTAAATATTGATAAGTAATTAGTCAATCGTAGTTGTAGTAATAGGGCCTATATCGATCCCATCATAAAATTTACTTATTGATTTTTTCGGCTATTAATTCCGCCGACTACTGTTTATCCCTCTCTTGTAAACGTATTTTAAAAAATATAGTCCAACATAATGTATTAAAAAGTTGTCTTTAATTTGAACGATAATAATATTTCTAAGATCACTTATTTAAAACATGTGTCCAAATATTACCAAAAGTAGTTACATTTTATTATATTTATATTAATTAGATTATAAATTTTAATATTTTATAATATATTCACATACACATATTAATTAGGATATACATTTTAGTTTTGAAATATACAATTACTATCATTTTATACATATTATATTATTATATACTGTATATCAGCGGTTCTCGAACTGTGAGGTGTGCCTCCCTTGGGAGACGCAAGCACTTGACAAGGAAGGCGCAAGGTGCGTGGTAAATAATGATATTTTTAAATGAATAATAATTGAATACAGTTGTATTGTAAAATTATACTTAGTTCGGACATTTTTGGAAAGTTACTATATCCAACCAGCGTTTGATCCATTGTGAACATTAAGATTAAATATTAATATTAATAGTTATTGTTTTTTTTTTTTCATAAAAATTAAAAATTTTGTAGTACTATAAATAGAAATGTAATAACATTTATTGTTGATTTATTTTGTTATAACAATAAAAATATTTTTGTAATTAAATACTATAAATTTTTTATGTATTCATAAGAAGCGCAATTCATTTGTTTTTATTTTTAGGATGACATAAACTAAAAAAATTTGAACCACTACTATATATTTTAAAATACATATTCAAGGGGAGAGAATAAATAATGTCCAGCGGAATCGATGTGTAAATATTATAAAAAGTAGCCGGCGGAATCGATACAAACTATTTTCCTAAACAGGTAGTTTCGAAGAATCAATAATTTCCTGAAACAATAATTTTAAAGAGATTAAAAATTGTTAATTTTCAGAGTAGTATTTTTAAAACCAACGGGATAGATAATAAAAAAATAGGCCTATATAAACCTCGAGAACTTCGTTTATATTTTTCTAAATCTGCAGATATATACATAGTTACCTGTATACTATGCAGCAGAAAGTCCACGACGAAATTCGATTTTCATTAAAAGTAAAATAGAAATATAAAAAATAAAAAAGAGAAAAATAAGTGTAGGTATCTATAATTATGGCGATGAATACGACAAATAAATAACAGTCGTGAACGTTTTTCAACATTTTACAATTATTAAAAGATAGACTGATCAATATCGCAAACGTTATTGAATATTCGGAGTATCTGGGTGGTGGCGCGGGAAACGAAGGTCTCTGCGAGTTTTATGTTTTTCTTTCGTTTCCTACAGAGTCGATACGTGGATATTTATGTTTGATATATTCTATGAACCTTATATATACCTGTATAGTGTATACTATATAAATATATAAAAAAATCTACATCATTATATTTCCAACAATTTTAACGCAAGAACCTATACTATGTACACAGCGTGTCTCACCGTTTTTGTCCACGTCAATAACTTTTTTTCCCATTAATATATTTGAAATACGATATCATAAGATAAATATAATATATTTGTCGTCAGCCATCATGCCATTATGTATGTTATAAATTATAATAGTTTTTGGTTTACTAAAAAATAAAAATTCTTTTCATAAACTTGGATATAGCTGTTTTATAAAGTTAATATATGTGAATATTTTATAACTCGAATTATTAATTTTCATCAAATATTCAAATACAGTTAGGGAAATATATTATAAAGAATCCATATTCTATATATATATATATTTATATACATAGACGTTTTTAATATAAAGGACCAACTACGTTGATGGTTAATACGCTGTTTATAATAAGTACATTATACATACAAATAAGCTAATGGCGTTGGAGGAAGAACAAAATAAAACAAAGTTCTATCGTACAGCATGTTTCTATTAAACACATAATTTTTATTATATTGTCAATGCGCATAATTAATACGTTAATTTTCTTACCGGTCACGTGTGAAAAATTGCATGCATTCGAGATTCGCATAACAAAATTTGCCTTAATCTATGTAGTTAGCTTATAATTTCTGTATAACAACACAAACATCATTTCTGATTGTACAATTTTCTCGACTATGTCCTTATAAATTCATTACAGGTGATGTGGTTCATATATTTTATATACAATAATAATAATAATAATAATACTAACGTTGAAACGACCCAAAATGGCTACCATGATTGGTGGAACGCTGTCAATTACAAACGTGCGCCGCGCTTGTAGGTATATGTGTGCACGCGTGCGTACATACCTAACATAACCTAACCAACGGCAGCGGGTAAAGAGGTTCACACCAACCTCCTATAAATTTGGCCTTTTGATTTTCTCTCGCCGATCTTAGACGGACATGTCCGCTTCCGGTCATTAAAAGGCTTTCGACCCAATTAATCCCGGGCTGCTGCTGTTGTTGCCGGATACGTCTTATTCACGGGTAAATTTTCAAGAGAGAGGAAATACCAAACATAAATCTGACCTTTGGACAAACTTAATGGGCGGTAACGCGTTCCGGAGTATGAGTGAGCTATAACCCAGCGTCCCATACCATGTCGTTGGTCGGGTGGTAGTGGAATGAAGGATAAAACAATATATTGTATCCTATAACATGGATTTTGTCGCATGGTAATGTACAATAGTGATAGGTCATCCAATGACGCTCTACTTCTAGTCATCACGACGCAGTCATAACTCAGCAATTAGTCAAACTGAATGACCGATTCGATGTTCCGACGACGTTGTAATAATAATATATATATTACCACATAGCCGTGCGATCAGAATATCAATCTCCGGTGGTCAGCAATACATATTATTTATAGTTGGCCTTATTAAATATAATATATACTTCATTTCACCCACTGGTACTTATCACAAATTATATCTTATAATCTAATCCACATTGTTATATTTTATGCGGTACTTATTCACGCTTTGACGAATCAACGATTTATTTAGATTTATTTATTTTATCTAAAATATATTATTTATTATGATCAAAATTGTAATAAGAAAAACAACTAAAAATATAAAATACTTACATAATATTTACCTTTAAACCTATTGCTGTTTATTAAAGGTCTTTTATTAATAATAAACAACGAGCGAGGAAAAATGCACTGTCCAAAAATTGGATTTACAGATTTATCGAAAACATAATTCGAGCTCACAAATTATTATTTGTGTTGATCAAACAAACGGTAATAGGTAGGTGGTAAAAAAATTAATTCAATTTGAACGAACGCATGTACCCATGCAAACAATGTAAATGGGCTGATTTCTACGTGCACACTTGTGCACGTTCATTGTTTACGGGAATTGTAAAACATCACTTTGCATTGTTAACACTTAATATATCATGTCCCTTGCGCTAAAGATGTTTTTGCTCACACGACCGTTTATATATAACTGTTGATTTATAGCGTTGTCGTGATTGCTAAGCATCGCAATCAATGTACCTGAACAATGCTGTAATCACAGTGTTTCGTTAACAGACGCATTTTTCATCAATCGAACATAGCCATTTAACATTTGCGGAATAATTAGCAGTGTACCAATTCCGCCTACCTATGTCCCATATATTATATGTTTATGTGTGGTGTAGTATATAAATTCGACGTACTTTCACTGCGAATAATAATACAATGCGACCCACCAACATTTTAATAGTGAAATTATTCTCGTGGCAATGTGGCAAAGTATATACGCAATAATACGTTATAAATATATTTATGTTATATAATATTTAATATCATATATTACTTGCGTACCTCTATTCAAATTAATTGCACGAACGTTGTTGTGTAATACAGTTCAAGTTAGTATCCGAAATTTTGGAGAAAAAAATTAAAAGCCATTTATTGTGTTCCCCGAGTTTTAGAATATTTATTAATCTTTTAATTTTTCGGTATTACTGTGGATTTATTTACATCAAATATTTGAACCGATTATAACGTTCGTATAATGAAATTTTTAGTTTATAACGAAATAAAAACGCAGTGTCAAGTCCATTGATTTCTCATATGGCCGAGTGAATGAAATAATTTCCAAGATTTATAGGCGTTTGTCAGTATTTGAAACCGTCCGTAAATAGGTGATACATTATAGCTATTTATGCTACGGCCATCTACTATATACGTAGTATAATAATTATTATACCAATATACAAAATACGTATACCTGTCCGATATCGTTTGGATACATTTGCTTTTAGATGTTATATATTGATATTTAAATCCGTGTCTTCCAAAATCGATACAACTGTGTTTGGTATATTGATAGGAAATTTCGTGTTAGCGATAACCGCGCACGTCTTGCATAATTAATTTCATATTTCAAATAATTAATGTACACTAAATCGAATTACTCAATTACACGTCGGAGCATTTCCACCGGTTATTGAATAGTAGCGTAGCGCGTGTTTAACATGCACATACTAACAACACTATACACACAAGGCGCTGATGAAATCACGACAGACAGTCATTAATTCGTCATGCCGTATGATTTTCGTGTCTAGAACATCCTTCAAACGTATATTTACGTAATGTTTGACTCTATACACTGTCTCACTATTCAGATAAATTATCTGCGAACGTAAATTATTCGGAAGAAGATCCTGGTGCGGCACTATCGCTGTGTAAACCTATAAAATGTAGAAATAAAATATTTTAAATATGAAAATAATATTGTCGATGATGACTATAAGTAAACACCGTCCCTGGAAATAATATGTATATATCTATTATATTATTATAATATAATGACATTAATGGTTTATGAATTTTATTTTTTCCTCAGCTCATCTCAAAACCCAACTTGAGGAGTATTCGGAAAACTATCCAAAAATAAAAATCGTCCGCGCCAAAAAAAGAGAAGGACTTATACGAGCCAGGTTGATGGGTGCGAGGTACGCATCTGCACCCGTTCTCACTTATCTCGACTCTCATTGCGAGTGTACCGAAGGTAAGTCTCGTCGGCCGCGCAAATATAAAACGGTATACAATTATATTATATACTTGTAAGAATACCACCATGTTGTGTTTTTTATAATTATATTATATTTAATTTCGTCTTGGATACTTACGGATTTTCGAAACGGTAATTTACGCGAAAATTTAGCAGCCAATAACAAAAATGCGAGCGACAATCTCAGATCGAATATATCTGAGCTTAAAACAATAAATTTTAATATCGTCGCGTGATGTACATTATATTAATATTATTATTATTTCGTACTGACCGGGAAATATAATGCAGCCGGCAGCCCGTAATAATCATTATTCGTCCGAATTGTTTCGAAATGCGTATGTGCCTATCGCATGTTATGTCGTTTATTGCATATATATATATATATATATATATATATGTGTGTGCGTGTGTGTATTTCTATAATATGTGACCCCCGTGCACGTCCGTTGTTGCAGCTTATCATTATAACATATACCTTCATATTATATAATATCAAGTAAATGGGCTTTTATTATTTTTTTTTATTCGAAATCGCTTTTACACTCATTCGAGGTATTGTCGTGTGTGATATTGTGAATGGCATATTACTTGGCAGCAGCTTTGCTTACACCATATATTTATCGTATTATGTACCATCAGGCGCGGTCTAACGTCTTCGTGGTCACTTAGATATTTATTTGTTTAACCACGGCTTCTGTTTATTGTTTTTTTTTTTTTTTTGTCTCCATTTTTTATTTTTCAACTAAAATTTCATCAATTCTAATATCAACGGTAAATTGTATTTTTTAACGACAGCTATCGCTGTTTGAATTTCTTAAGCACAAACAAATATGTTATTTGACTTCTTTATTTTATTTTTATCTTCGAATTCACGTTTTCCCATTCTGAATAACATTGTATTTATTTTAATTTATTAATACATTTTTGGTGTATAATTACTAATATTTTCACATAGTTTAAGTTTTTCATTTTATGAACTATACTTTAGAAATTGCGTGTATATTAATGTTTTTAAAAACTTTGTATTCAAGAGAACGATTAAATTATTTCAATAATCAACAAACTTCATCACTTAAATTTGTATAATATTTAACCATTTATTTTAATATTGTTCAGCAAGTCTGTAATATAATAATAAGGTTGACTACCCTACTTACATTTAACACTTCCCTAATTTTTTTTTTAAATATAAAATTTTATACATTTCGAAAAAGGTCTTATATATAAGTAATATATATTTCTACAATGTAACATTTTTTGAATCAATATTTTAAACTAGGTATATATTTCTCGAAATTTTCAATTAAAATGACTTAAACAATGTTCTACGATGAAGCATAACACTTCGTCACAATTGTTTATTCTCTTGTTTGGTGTTATTTAATGTTAATAGTAATACTAATAGACGGATACATTATGATATCCGTAAACGTTCACGTGCGAATGAAGCGTGCGCTTGTTTGTGACACTGGTGGCTATTGTTGTTTTTATTTCTCAGGATGGCTTGAGCCATTGTTGGACCGAATTGCCCGCGAAGCGTCGACTGTCGTGTGTCCGGTGATTGACGTAATCGACGACTCGTCGCTGGAATTCCATTACAGAGACGCCGGCGGCGTGAACGTGGGAGGATTCGATTGGAACTTGCAGGTATGAGAATAAACCTAATTATTTATTAAATTCAAAAAAAAAAAAAAAGTAAACGTTATTAAGTTCAAAGACAATATATTAAAGGACGTATATATTAAATGCAGTGTACAATAGTTTTCTATGTATTATTTTAGAAGTCGAGATAGACTTTTTGAATTATTGCGGCCACTCGACCGTGGTTGATGTTTTTTACGGCATATTATAATACGTATAATAGATATTGTGTGATCATGATTACTATTATTATTATTTTTATTATTATGTTATATATATAAAACTGAATAAAGCTTTTGTAGACGACTCTCTCCCACTGGTATACCCCTGTATAAATATTCGCTTAGCTTTGCGGATATTACGTCTTTTGAAAAAAAAAGTTGTCTTTGTTCCTTTTAGCGCTCGCGTTAATTAAAATCAAATAGGACCTTTTTTAAGCACCTAATTTCAAGTACGGGCTTATTATAGGAAATCCACTAGAGTCTTTTGAAATGTAAAGTCCATTATATTAAGTATAGGCTTACATACTTAAATTGACTTTCCACGTAATGTAAACTAATTCATGAATATAATATATTATGTACATATATATGATATATAATATATACGTACTTACTTTTAATTCGATTGATAGGCTACTAACGTATCAAAAATATACACATTGACAATTTTTAAAACAATAATTAGGAAACGCCTATTAATTTAATAAAGGTCTAAATCCTATACTAATACTGTATTACTCTATTGTTTGATGACATCGATATTTGTTTGTTAATTTTAAAATGTTTATACTTATACTATCATTTTTATTATATTAAACACGTTTTCAAAGTATATATAATAATTATTTAGCATAGTAATATCGCTAATTTTATCAATTCAATAATTATTTACATATAATATACTAAAGCATCAACCAAATTATTATAAATGCGATGATTTTAAAATTGGAGATTGAAATGTGTATAAATTAATTAAAAATCTGTAAGCTAAATGTTTGTAACATATAAGTAAACGAATGAACATAGATATTGTTATAAGATATTATACGTTTCAACGAGTTTTTAACAAAAAAAACTAAGTCTGACAAGGTGGAAAATCGAATCTTCTGATGAGGAATTACGTTAACCAAACCAAAGTTTTTCCTTACAGAATTTTATGCTATAAAATTAAAAAATAAAATAAAATTATATAGCATAGAATTACTGAAAGAAAAAAAAATATATATACATTTATAACTATTTTCAACTTGCGCGTTGATGTGATTATCTGTATAGTAAAATACAAATGAATTAACCTGTTTCCAGCCATTGCACCTAAAAAAAAAAAATTACTAAATATTTGATTGATTATTATTGATAATACGTATGCTCATATTTTAGCATTTTGGTACTCGAGTCGGATATATTGTTTAAAATATCACGAATTTGTATTGTAGACAGATTATTATCATCGGTGGAGCACCGACTTCGCCACTATATACTGGTTGACGAGCCGGAAATGTTGGATATAATTAAACGCTTGTGGTCATAAACAAAAACGTCTTATTTGATTAAAATAAAATAACATGCATCACTGCGTACACGGATATAAATTGAAGGAAATTTAGCAAATAATATTGCGTAAACCAGTTATCTCAGAATATATATATATATAAAATCATGTACAATACAAAGCCGCTAAATAAATAACATGACGTACGATATCACAGCCATCTGTTTCGTATTATTTATCAAAACAGCAGTGGTTGGCTATATCTATATAGGGTTTTCTAAATCGTAGTTATTGTGTAAATGCACGCATTTACGTGAACTCCGACCGTCTCCGTGGTTAATGATCTCGAATGATTCGCATGTGGAAAATGGGAAATTCCCCCAGTTTACATCGTTTAACAACAACATATAATCGTAACATCGCGCTGTCTTATTCGAAAATTCGCAATTAATTATCGCTAAATAAATCGGCACAGCTTTTACATCAGGTTTCTTCGATTCTGTCTCCGGTCACGCGTTGGTCATACCGACCCAAAAATATCCTAATACTTCATAGATGTGTAGAATTTAGATAATAGATATGTATACGTTCATGCATATATTAGTATAATTGTGTATCGTGGTGCATATGTGTGTATACAGAGTGATTCATCATACATGCTCACTCCATTTTCTTTCTTTAGTAATGAAAAATTCTAATTTTTTCAATTTTTTTTTTTTTTTTTGTTATTATTAAATACCATATTTTTGAGTTCATGAAATTTTGTACTACTTAAGGAGGATTCTTTAGTCAATAGAAGTTGGTACAAATTTTTGTTTTTAAATTAGAATCTCTCTTTTTCATTTTAAATAATTTAAAGAGTCATTGTTTTGATATTCACTGTTTTCACTTTAAATAGTGCAAAAATATTAAAAATTTGAAAATATATTGTTTAAAAATACCAAAATCTAGGTTTTAAATAATTAAAATATTGAAGAAGAAAAAAGGGTGATCATACTTAGTGAATCCCTCTGTATATGCCTAAACTCGACACGATAGTGTTTGCCAAACAAATTTGTCGCGAGCGTTTTTGCCATAGGTAGTCTGCGCTGCGGGATACCTGATAACGTGGACCGCGAATAATTATTATCTTGGTCTTTTCGGGCGATACACCTACGACGAGGTTTTCGGGGAAATGTTGAAATAACCCCCTGCGTGCACGTTAAACATCGTCCTGGCAACCAACGTGTAGGTTGTGGGCGTATGTAGCCAGTGTCTGTAATATAGTGCGTATACATATATTGTTGCTTTTTTTTCTTCGATTTGAGATACTGTCCAACGTGTGCAGGCTACAGTTATGTTATTAATTTTAGATACTATAATATGTACATAGGCTTGACCAATTTCTTAAATCATTTTCAGGATACAAACTTCCTTAAATTGCTTGTAAAATTATAAAAGTCTATATGGCTACAGCGTTATGTACCTTATACAGTTTATACTCAAGTTGAACTGTAATTTTTATTTTTATTTATAACATTTTCAATAGGATTAACCAATTCTAAACTCTCATTAAAATCTTCTATTTAAGTTTAAATTGACCTCCCTCGTCGTAGTGATATTCAAATATTGCTTTGTTTAAAATTTATTTAAATACTACAAACGCAAAACTAACTTAGTAAAATTATAATAATAATTATAAAATAATATTCCACATCGTATATTGCTTCTACAGTTCAATATTAATAAATCAATATTAGATAAACTGAATTAAATAATTTTAAACTTGGTTTGTGCTAAGGCTCCTGCACCCTGTATGTGCGTCATCGATGGTCATAAAATATATAATAGCACAGGTCTGGTTATAAGAGGACAACGGGTGGTCGTTTTAACGCATTAAATTAATAACTTCATGGTTGTTATGTATGTATACAACATAATTATTATCATTTAGACGTGAATTCGAGTCCCGTGCATTTCACAGCAAAGCTTACAAAGCTTACTGATTGTCAGTTTTGGTTTGATTTTGTTCTCTCACATCCACGTAATCAAACTTATGTTCGTTTTCCATGTATAAAATTGCGATTTCCCATTGTTTTTGTCTTTCAATTTTTCTCATGTAGGTATTTTTACGTTTCTCTATCTACTACAACCTCGATCGAAATATGTATATATATATATATTTGTATATTACGAATATCACTGTTCGACCACCTAACCAGATATTTTTACTATATTCAGAAATGTTGCTGACCAATGTAGGTATTTTTTCCCGCAATCAAAATATAAATGATAATTTTTATTCAATAAACATACATAATAAGCTTAATACTTTAAACAATTTCACCAAACGTGCAAATTCTTTCTCTATCCCGCCTTAATCCGGCTCTGCATTCATTCGTTGACACTGCAAATCTAACTTAAGAACAAGATTTATGTATAATATTCGCATGGTTAGTGAACTATTTTCTTTTTGTATTAATGTGTAAATTATTATAGATACTGTTTAGTATATACGTGTAAAGGACACCTATTATTGTTTTGATGAGCGCACGAAATTATATTGTTTGTCGAGTTGTAGCAAATCACAGTAATGCTGTCAAATAAAGTTTTGTGCAAAAAAGTCACGTCATCAGGTAGTAGACGACACGCGGTTTTATAGTCGTTTGATTGTGATAATGGTTATTTTGTTTATGTCTTTGTTTCACAAATAAACCATTCGAAACAAAATAAGTGTTTATCATCCTTCGTTGGTTTATTATGGCCATAGTACTGTAGTACTGTGCTATAGAATACAAATGAAAAACGAAAAAATTGAACTCAACGTTTTTGTACCTTTAGTTGTATATATATTATAATAATACGACTCTTCACTATTCAAACAATCTCTAGAGCTTTTATAATGATGACCCGAATTCTCAAAATGATTGCACCGGGGTGTAAAAGTGGTAAAAATTAAAAACCCCAAGTTTTTATTTTTTGAAATGTATAATAATTTATATAATATGTATATGTTTCCGGTGAAGTAATGCATATATATGTATAGCATATCTTTCTAGTGACAATTAAATTCTGCTGTAGTTGGTGTAGTTTCTTTTTAGTTTATTAAAAAAAAAAAATCCATGTATAATACTCTATGGATATTATTTGTTAACTTTTCTTTTTTTTTTTTTTTTAATTCTGTTACTATGTAGTTTAATATTTCATATACCTGTGACCACTGCATCGCTATAGTTATATAACTTATAACGTGTTTTAAATCGTTCGTATTTATTATTTTCATTTATTGTATTATATTACTTTAAAAGAATTTTCCGAAAAAATTTTTATTAAAAAGAAACGAGAATGTTTGTGTATCTTTGTAAAAACAAATTGTATAAAAATATTAGTGAAACTAAGACAAAAAAGTATAGAGCACACAAAAACCAAAAATTGATAAAACTTTACCATGGTTATATGATACAAATTTACAACTCTTTTTTGCTAGCAAAAAATAAGCATTAAATCTCATATAAAAACATGTAAACGACTGT